AAATTCCGTGTTGATCAAAAAATTTTTATTAGTGAGTGACACTTGACCCCCTGTAGATCCGCAATGTCCTGCGACTGATAATGTTTATTATCGCCACAAAAACATATTAATGATCGGCAAATTTTTGCAGTTGTTTCACAGACTACAAATTAAACCAAATACTTATAATAATACAATTAAAGACACTGAAGCATTTACTTACTATCTGGAAAGGATCCCGCAAGATAAAGATGGTGCAAAAAATATTACTTTTAACGTAGAAACATGTGGGCATTTTTATGTTGTATTAAAATCATCAATATATAAAGCTAATAGTTTTTTCTAGCACAAATTAATTACTCTAAGTATAAGAAATTATCTGATCTTGATGAGATATTTGGCAACAATATTAAAAGTATAAGCGGATTTAATGAACTTCCTCAAATAAATTTTCGTAAGTAACAATAAATGTTCTTATTTTATTAGTATAAGTAATGAATAATTTTTTTTTAATGTTTATTAAAAGCAAGCTATGATGTGGAGGATGAGGAATTAACAAAAATTGTTTCTCGTGTAGTAGAACGATTAAAGGTTTGTTAAGCCTTTGCTGTTTATTTATAATTGAGCATTGTTATGTAATGGGCATTTATATAACCAGTTATTCAAATCAGAAACCAACTTCACCATGCTCACCCCCCTATTTTTATTTATTTATTTTTTTGTCAGTCTCTGGCTAATTGACTTATAATTTGTGTGTATAGATAACATGCTTATATTATTTTACTATTTATTTTCAAGTTACTAATTGCCACTTCAGGGCCAATTGTGGGAAAGAACGAAATGGAAAGATCATATTTCATTGATGCACTTCTTAGAGAAATAGTATTTTTTTTTGGTGAAAAATTTTCTATAAGTCAACAATATAATGTAATTGGTTCTCATGGTGATGGAAGAGTAGATTTTTTAATCATGCATGGTGAAATAATAATTTGTATCATGGAAGCAAAAACAACAGAAATTGAAGAAGGTATGGCACAGAATTTTGTGCAACTACATTCGGCATGTGAGGTAATTCATTGAAAAAAAAGATAATACACATCTAGAACATCTAAAAAAAAAATTTTTAAAATATTATTAACATTGTTTAATTTTAAAATTAAAATACAGAAAAATATCAGGAAAAGAAAATACAGTGCAATCGAATATGTTTATGGCATAGTTTCAACTGGTGACCAATGGATCTTTACAATAGTAACATCAGATAATAAATTAGCTGCAACAAATAAAAATGTTCAGATTATTGGAGTTCATACCAAATATTATGATGAAGATCTTTTGAAGAGAGAGACTTTAAGTTTGGTTAGGGTTATTTCAAGTATTTTAAATGATAGCATCTCAAATAGCAGCCCACAATCTAAAAAGATCCGAATTGAAAAAATCTTATCATTAAATAAGGGTTGATGAATATTCCATTAGCATGACGGGTAATTTATCAAATAAACTTATTAAAATAAAAGCAATATTTTTTCAAGTTTTATAAAAAGCAAAAAAATATTTAACGAATAAAGAAATATATTTCTATTTTTAATAGTGCACAATTTCGGTATTTGCGGCGCAGCGGTAGTGATTGCGCGAATTTCAATTTTTTTTAAATCAATATTCTAAACATTGTAGAAAATCATAGTAGTTCAAACTATTAAACACATATATTCAGAATCTTTGAATAAAACCTTCTTAATAAGATCAAACTCAATTCCAATATTAATGAGTATTCATTGGCTGTAAATACCTCCAATAATGCAATATAGTCTACCCCTTTTACACTAAAATTTCGTTGCAACAAAATTCATGATCGGTAAAAAATTTATTACAACAAAGTTTGTAAAAATTGAGATTCAAGTTTAAATATAAAATATAATGAAAAAATAATTATATCTTTAGATTTTTTAAAATGTTGATTATTAGACAAATTTTTTTTCGTTTCTTTTCGTTCAACGATTCCTCCTCTTTAATTTTGCGAACGAAATGCTACATTAAAACGTTTATTTTTATCTTCGATATATTATTATTTGTATTTGCATTATTTCGTTAGATTATTATTTACACTATTATTTATATTAATTTCTTATTATTATGTTAAGTGCTGCAGTTTTCCGGAAAGTCTATAAGATAATAATTATGATCTATTAATAATTTATTATTTATTTATTAAATGTAATATTAGAATACGAAATTTGTATAAAAAGATAAGTTTTCCGAATTCAATAAAATAACTTTTGTAACTTGTATTTTAATAAAACTTAATTGCGTTTTTCTTTTGACGTAAGGAAAAGAGGGTATAATTTGTGATCTTTTTAAGAAGGAAAGGATTTTTAATAATGATCGGCAGAGTGTGAAATCAAAATTTATGTGAATTTGAAATTCACATATGTGAAATTTCAATTAACCAGTCAATAAAATGGATTCCAACCCAACCCATTAAGAATTTCAAATTCACATACAGTATACAAACATTTTAATATTAATAAAAATCCATTTTGTTTTTGCTGCTATAACACCTTATTGCACTTATATTTTAATAAACAAACAGTTAAAAAATAGCCAATAGACCTTGTAAATTCTTTTTATTAAACTGTCAGAGCCTCTTTCTTATAACTATTCACACACATTATTTTAGAATGTGCTGAGATTATTGGCATTATTATTAAAAAATATTGAAAAAGGATCATGAAATAAAAATTAGTGTTAGTAAAACATGCTGACTAAAATTTGGGTAACATGTTGATTCATCATTTGATGATAACTAAAATTTTGATCCCTGAATTCTTGGTAATACCAATGTTCACTTTGTCTTGTTTTGTTGCAGTATGTCCCAATTAATATTTTAAGCAAGCATTATTTTTTATTATGGGCTTGCCAAATTATAATGTAAATACTCAATAATGATAATGATAAAATTGTATACAACATTTATCAATAGCAAATATTCTATCATTATGGGTAAAGCTCAAAAGATCATCATTTCTATACCACAAGGTATTAAATCAAATTAAAAAAATAAATGAAGATTATGGGAAATGGTTTGAAGGGTTAGATGGATTTATCCTTTTCCAGTTCTATCTAATCATTGATCTAAAATGAAATCTTATTTAATGTTTTATATATGTATATTTATACTTTTTTTTTTTTTGATTAAATAACATTTAAGAAACCACATGAGCATAATCAACCAATGATAAGGTACATCTAAATATGTTGTTACCTACAAAAAAAAATCTTACGTAGTAATAGGTTATCATTTTACAAAGTAATCAACAAGAAAAATTTGCATTGAAAATGGAAGAAAATAAATTTAAATATAAAAGTTATAATAACAACAAACATAAAAAATTTATTGTTAAACAAAATTCTTTTGAAAAATTAATAAGTTTTATAGAAAATAAAAAGTATTATTTTATTATTTTATATTAAATATGAGAAAAAATTTTTTTTACAAGACTTGATTTGGTTTGATTGATTTTTTAGAATGATTTTGTTAGAAAGTAATCCCTTTAATGAATTAAAAGGTAAAAGAAAAAAGGAAAAACAAATTTATATATTTTGGATTTAATGTATAATAATATTTATAGCCTTATTATTGTTAATGATGATATTAACTTATTAGAGAATATTAAAAGAAACCTTTTACATCCAAACCACCCAGGATTCATCAATATAATCAGTTATGGAGTTGGATGTATAGAAAAATCAATAGTATCACAATATCAATTTGCTTTGTTATTACTTTTAAAAGATTTATTTCAGGTAAAAAAAAATAGATATATTTTCATTTTGGACACAAATAAAAAATATTTATTATTATTTTCAAATTTTCAAGATAATTGGGAAAATATCTTATTATGACCCAATTCAATCTGATTTAGATTTAAAAATTATATCATATTATAATGTTGAATCAATAGAAATTAATGAGGCAAGTTTATCTATTAATATTTATCAACATATAATATTACACTTTTGTAATATTACTTAACAATATTATTACGATTAGAAAGCAAAACATTCCATCTCAAATAATACGCTTTTCTATATGCCACATTGTCCAATTGGTCTATATAATAATGTTATTTCAGCCAATTGGAATAAATCTAAGCTGGAAAAAATTATGATTATTGGAAATAAACTAGATTATTACAATGAAAGGTAGAATGATAATAAATTCAAAATTCATTAATTCAATTATCTTTTATTCAACAAAATAATTGATAAGTAAATTCTTTCCAATTAAGTATGGCAAGTTCTTTGTTAAAAAAAAAAGCACCATTTGTAAATTTAATATCCTTTTTTTTTCAAAACAAAAAATATAATTAAAATCTTTCAATAATATCATTGTTATTTATTATCATAGTTATTAATATTCCTTGACCAGTAAAATTACGCATTAACAACTGTTAAAAGCTTTTCTTTTCCGGATTTTTCAAATAATCAAGACATTCCATACAATGCATTCAATGATTTGTGTTGTCAATGGTTTCATGTTCAAGGCAATGAAACAATTGATGAAAATTTTTGGAATTTAAATGATGATAACATTCATGATGATGGTGATGATGATGACCTTGAAATAATTTAATAACAACAACTTTAATTATTATGTCAATGATATTAAAAATAATAATTGATATTTTATTTATATTGACGGTAGTGATATCAGTAATACTAGTAATTTTTCAATATTATAAAAAACAATTATTCACCAAACTCTACATTCTCTAACCATTAATTCAACTTGTTCTAATAAATACTTTCCTCCGATTATTTCTTCTTCTTGTTCATTCATTGATTCTGTACCCTTTTTCATTAATGCAATTCCAACAATTATTGATCTTCCTTCATTAGGATTTTCTTGTACTATTGTATTGGCAATTTGTGACGCATATATTTGATATAATGAAGAATATGATCCAAGTAAAAAAATTTCATTTGTTGGTATGGTATCTGTTGATGACACCCTAAGTGGTGATATCGTGTCTACTGTTACATGAATCTTATATACATATATATATATAAATTAATTAACTACTATCATTAATTAATTAAATTTTTATCCTATTTACCAAACTACCAATTTTTCCATATTGTGTTATAACCACAAAAATCTTATTTCGAAAACCACTAATCAACACTTCTGTATGTATTCCATCAATTATTTTTGCAGATTGTTTTGTTTGTATGGGAAATGTGGTTTCTTCTTGTGAACTTGTCATTTGAAAATTGAATTTTTTTTTTAGAAATTATGATGTGCAATAACTAAAATAAAAACTGTAATATTTGTGAAGATCAAAAAATATAATAATAATGACATCATCATTCATTGATGACGCGTAATATCTTTTAACTTTATTAAAAATCATCTTTCTTTACACATTAAAACTAAATTTAAAATGTTTAAAAAAGCTAGAACTTTTACAACAAATAAAGGAACGTTTCAGAAAAGATTTTTTTCATCAATACAAATAAATCCATTAAAACAACCACATCATCTAATAAATCAAAAATCAAAACCAAATTTACAAATACCAAAATTGCTATTATTATTTTTACTCAATAAAGTGGAGCAATACCAACAGCAACAAAAATCAAGTAGTAGTAATTTTATCTTTAAAAAGCATTATAATCGAGAAACTTCAACATATTTCAATGATGCCTACTCAAAATACTATGTTCCACGACCCGAAGAAATTATTGAATTTCTTGTTCACCATCACCAGTATCCAAAAAAAACAGATAAAGATGATTATCTAAAAGTTAAATGCCCAGTCTGTCGTCCAAAGAGAGAACATTATTATTCCATGATGATTAACATAAAAAATGGGACTTTTGATTGTCCATCTTGTTCAGTAAAGGGTGCTTGGAATGACTATCTGCAGATGCTAAATAAAACTGAATTGTATAAAATTATTTATTCAATAAAAAATGCATTTGAAGAATCAAGTATTGAATTTACAAAAAAATACAACGATTTAGTAAACTATAAAAATGAATTAATGAATCATTCACAAGTTATCGCTAATATTTTAGACAAATTTAAAATTACTTATGATACATTAAGAGATTATGAAGTTGGTGTGGCAAGATACATCAATAACAATCCTACAGTTCCAAACATTCCTCAAAGTTGGTTAAAGAATCCCTCGGATCTAAGATATGGTGAATTATGTATAACATTTCCAAGAATTGCACCTTCTTTTAAAGACTTAAAAGATTGCACAGAATTAAAAACATCTATAGCAAGAATTAAAGCCTGTTCAATAAATAGGGATTTTGAATTAGTGGCATACGACCCACCATCATTTCAGGCAGGTCTTTTTGGTTATCACTTGGCATCATTAGAGATTGAAACGATCATTTTAGCTGGAAATGAATTTGATGCAATGGCAGCATACCAGGAAACAAAAATACCTGCCTTTTGTCTACCTACTGAAAATAGCCAATTACACCTTCAAATTCTTCCTCTGTTACAAAGGTTTTCTAAAATTTATGTTTGGTTGGATGATGATGTTATTGGTCAAGACATGTCAGAAATGTTTGTCAAGAAGTTGGGGATTGAGCGTTGTTTAATAGTGAATACACGTTGTGGCAGTTTAGATGGACCTCTTAATGCTAGTCAAGCATTAATAATGGGAAGAAATCTGATTCAAATACTTTCTAATTCTAAACCATTACCACATGAACAAATTATTAATTTTGATCATATTAAAGATGGAGTATATAGAGAAATCATTAATCCAGACCAAGTTCGTGGTGTCATGTCTAACGATCTTCCTGCATTAAACAAAACACTTAAAGGACATCGTCCAGGTGAAATGACCATTTTTAGCGGTGGGACTGGCACAGGGAAAACCACCGTTTTAAGTCAACTTTCTTTAGATTATTGTATATCAGGTGTTAGTACATTATGGGGAAGTTTTGAAATTCCAAATGTAAGATTGGCAAAAAAAATGTTGCAACAATTTGCTGAAAAAGATTTATCACAACACCCTGAAGAATTTTCTGAATGGGCTGCAAAATTTCAACAGGCAAAGTGGTTCTGAAATATATTTATATTTATTTATTTATCTATTTATATATTAAATTAATCATTGTCTATTTTCATTATCACAAATGCTAGCTTCCGATGTATTTTCTAAAATTTTTTGGAAGTACAGAAATTGATACAGTCATTGAAGCAATGAATCATGCGACGTTTGCTTATGACGTTCGACATATAATTATAGATAATTTACAATTTATGACATCAGATTTATGTAGATTCAATGACAGATGGGAATATCATGATCGTACCATATCAAAATTTCGTAGCTTTGCAACCGAGAAAAATGTTCATATCACATTGGTGGTGCATCCACGAAAAGATAGCAGGGATTTGTTAGATATTAATTCAATATTTGGATCTGCTAAAGTATCACAAGAAGCAGATAATATTGTTATCCTTCAAAAAATAGCAAAAGATGAGGGCGAATTTAGATATTTGGATATTAGGAAAAATAGGTAATCATTGAAAAAGAAAAATTGAAATCAATAATTAATAATAAATTTTTATTATTATTATAGATTTGATGGTACACTAGCATCTATACCTATCGAATTTGTACCAGAAACTCTGAAGGTACACTTATTAATTAAATTCTATTACCATAATCACAACGTTAATGCTAATGTTCTCTTACTAATAATAGATTAGACAAATAGATGATCATTTTAATCCTAATTCGCGAGGAAAACCACGTTGTAAGTAAAAGTTAAAAAAACTAGTTAACATCATTATCATTATAATTTATTTAACCAACCATTTTATATTATATACATGTATATTGAATTAATATGCACAGCACCTTACAAATCTAGACCAGTAAGAAAAGATCCATTTGCATACACTATAAAAGATGTAGATATGATCCCATTAGAGGGGACAATTTAGTTTATAAAAAAAATATCAAGAAAATCTCCGTGCAATAATAATATGTAAATTAATTATATGTATACATTAATATTATATTCTTTTAACAAGTAGAAAGGTGATTGACTAGAGTTAAGCTAGCCAATGGCGGATTGTGTGAAAATATCTGGCCGCCTGTTTTCATTTAAGTTGCAATGAAATGAATATTCCTGATATCTCTATTCCAGGCCGTGTCACAATTTTTGCATTTGAGCACAAAATGCAGAGGATGTTAAGCCTTTCATCAATCTTTTCTTGCATGTCACCATGTTACACTTCAAGCAAACTTTGGAGACTCTAAACTTCAAAGTTACAAGATGGCCAAGGCGTTCCAGATAGCAAAGTTCTTTATAAGGATTCTACCTATTTTCCTTTCATGCAAACATTAAACATTGCGACGATTATTCTTTTGTTTGGATCATAGTTGTTTGGTGATACAGGTCTCATTTTTTGGCTGGTGGCAATTTCATCAAAGGTGGTAGTTGCATTGGAAGTAGTGACAGCAATTGCGTTGGTTATAATGAGCATTGGAGATAATGATAATGATGGTGATTGTGATTGTATTAGTTGTAAAGGATTACATCATTGGTTGTAATAGTGACTGGTGGCGATGATGGTGGTGGCGATGGTACGGAAAGCATATATATTTTTTGCCTTTTATTTTAAATTTTGATTTCCTTCACCATTCGTCATAAAATTGGCCAAAGTAATATAGTTGAGAATGTAGTGGATATAATTGTCAAGCAATACAACTTTAGATAGGAGTCCGTTTCTTTTCAAAATAATCTATAATATGACATCCTTTTTAGTACAATTTAATAAATGTACTCACATGATAAGCATTTTTGATTTTACTCGAGAATTTATTGTTTTTCCTTATAAAGTTAATTTTGTTTTCTAACAGATATGGATGCAAAACTGGTTGAGAAATTAAACGACTTAGTATTAGGTGACTTACACGACTTGAACGACTTGGATGACAAAAAACACTTCAAAAATTAAATCAACACCAACGTTATTTTTGATACCCATAATAAATAATCAGATCTAATAATAACATATTATTAATATTAATGAATTTGACGAATGTTACACTACCATCGCCGTCCATCATAAGTGATGGGTCAAATGGTAAAGTTAATTATTGAGATTTGTTTTATAATTGGAATTAAAAATATATTTAATTTGTGATCTTAATCTATTCCATGTTGGTGCCATTCATAGACATAAAAAGAAATAAATCAAAGGTTATAATAGCCCTTTATTGATTGAAACTCACTATTTAAATTCTTGTTGTTACTGTTATTATTATTATTATTATTATTATTATTATTATTATTATTATTATTATGATTATTATTATTATCTATTATTATTATTACAAATAAAGGTTAATTAATTCTTTAATAAAATACATTATGGCAAACAATACAATACAATAAAATAATTGTAGAAGAATAATTAATGGTGGTAGATCTTTTTGACCTCTTCTTTATACTGAGATATTTTAATTATTGATGATAAAACGATATTTTCAAAACTATGAGCATCCACATTATTACTAGTCTGAACATTCATACAATTGATATTATTACTAGTTTGAAAATTCACTATTATTACGTGAACGTTCGTACTATTGTTAGGTTGAAGACGTTTGAAAGATTGATCATATCACCTATTTTCAACCTCTTTGGATATAAGTGAGTATCAAATCTCGTGTTGAGCCATCTGTTAATAATGAAAGATTTGACTTCTTCCCTTTTCTTTCAATATACTCTAAATTATCTTCAATTTCATCCGAAAATTGAGGATTAATGTTGATTCCACTTTCAGAGCCATGTATTAATCCATTATATTCAATCATATCCCAAGATTCAGTCGGAATATTGAGCCCTCCGTTAAAGCAATTTGCTTTTTCAGGATATTCAAAAGCATGTTCAACTATATCCAAAGATCCAGAATTATCATGATTTACTTCTTCACTATGTTCAATCATAACCAAAAATTCAGAATTATCATTTGTCGTGTTGATATCACTGTCAAAATCTTTTAATTCACCATTGTTTTCATGATTTACTCCTTCGCCATGTTCACTCGTATCCAAAGTTTCAGAACCATAATTTTGGCATACCTTTTTTAACACAAACCTACCTTCCACATTTCTTGTTTGATTTTTGCCTCTCTTTTTTCTTTTTGAAACTGGTGGCATTTTTTTCTCTTTTTTTTTTTTTACAACAATAAATTAATGATTGATCGTCATCCGAAACTATACGTGTATATATAGTAAAATTGCCTGTTATTATTATACCTCCATAAATTTGCTCACAGTCGAGCAATCAAAAAAATAAACCGTAGCTTTGAAAGAGGAAGCCATAATCTATCATTGTTACGGTTTATTTTTTTTGCATAGCAAAAATTGGGGAACTAGATACATTAAAATGTATCTAGTCCTCCAATTTTTATCACTATTACGGTTTATTTTTTTGTATAATGGGTTAGAACTTCCTATCTCAAACTTACGGTTTATTCTTTGATTGCTAGACTATGCGTAAGTTTTTTTAGGCATTGTCATAAGTTCACAGGTGACTTTAAAGCCAAGTTAAATTCAATTGCGCCGACACAAATTTAATTATTTAGTCGCACAACTGAAATGTTATTATTATATAAAAAAAAACCCAAAAAAAATTTTTTTTAAATCCTCTAATAAATAAATTAATTCGTGATACGTGAAACAACTGCAAATAATTTCGTAATATTATCCACAAAAAATATCCGCAATCGCCAAATCGATTTCTAAATAAGGATAACACGCACCCAACCCACAATAAAAAATTGGATATTCTGAGGTTTCACGAAATTTGTGGATATTTTTTGTGGATAACTGTTGTATGTGAAATTGAAATATTATGGAGTGGGGTGAAATTCTGATTGGCTAATTTGAATTTCACACATGAATTTCACATGTGTGAATTGCGAATTCACATAATTTCATTTTCACGTACAACATAACTACACAATTATATACTTCATTCCAGGGTTAAAGATTGGTTTTCAATTTTTCCGGTTAAGAAACCGGTTTGAAAAATTTTTACCGGAAATTTAGAATTTTTATCGGAAAATTTTTATTTATTATTATTATTACTAATATTAACAATAATATTTATTTTTCTATAACATTTCTTATTCTTCATTTAGCTAATTGACTCCATAAAGCAAGGTGAGTTTAGTGGTCTACCAAGATTTATTGTATTAGAAATTTATACAATGGAATGTCATTTTTGGCCATCCAATATATTGTTTTCATTAAACCAAGGACATGATTATCAGCTTTTTGAATAGCATTGTTAGAAACTTTATACATTGCTTCTTTTTCCCTTTCTCTATTAATTGCATCTTTATGATCATCAGATTTAGCATGCTCCTTAAGAGCAGAGATTCTTGAAATATTGGATGAACCTGCAAATTTGAAATAATTATCTGTTATAAATCCAAAAAAAAAAAATGATAATAAATAAAATTTTATTAA